CAGCACAATAATGAACATACACAAAAAAGTATATATTTTTATTTAACTACATTTATACAGTCACAGCACTTGCACTTCAAATGATTGAGACTGTCAGGATGTGACGTAGTCTGAACTCTGTGGCAAGAATGCACTGTGGGTGCAATGCTGTGACTGAACACATATTGAAGCTGCAAAGTGTATGCACACATGTTCGAGAAACGTACACCTGGTCCTGGCATTTCAATTGAGACAAGAGATGCGAGGGATAAAATTAGACAAACATACTTACACCAAAGGTTACAATTTAATGCCCTCGACAACCCTCAAGCTGGCATTCAGTTACTGGTAGTATATTTTATCATAATTTTCAAGTAATGAATCTAGTGATGTGTGATTTAAATGTAGCCTCCCTTGAAGAGAGTTAATGTAAGTTACCATAAATGTTGCTCTAAAATCAAGTTGAAGTTGCCAAACATGTTTGTAAATGGCCAACAGCAAGCTGGGATAACATTTTTGGATTTGGGGAAACTATAAAACAAAGTCAGGGAGGGTACCTTTAAGTCTCACAGTTAGGATATACTGTATGTTACCACCAGTAACTGAACATCAGCACCAGGATGGTTGCAAGCACATCAAGTCGTTAATTTCATCGGCGAGCTAAAACTGCAAACGTTTTATACAGCAAGTGGACAGGGCAGTAAATCGATGGACGTTACTGAATCTGGGAAAGGGCATGTTCACTACCAAAGACACATCGGCAAATCTGGGGAGCAGTTACAAGCGTGTTCTGTAACATAGCTTAGTGATCCGTTAACTTTGTGAATAAATGCGGCAGATAAAACAAGCGGCTATACAATGAAGCTGTCATCACAATTGCTGCGTGACATTTGAGGGTTTGCTATCAATGTCAGGCCCACCCCTTTACTAGAAAGTGATGGCAACAACAATGCTAGGAACCGGAGGACCACTTCTGTGAATCGTAAATCGGAGAGCAGACTACTGCTAGCTAGCTCGTTGCAAACACTAGCGTCTTGGTCTGTCTTGACTTTGTCATGGTGCATAATGACAATCACCACTTACAGCAATCAGTGTTTGGTCTTTTTAAACCTTCCCTTGGTCCAACATGATATTTAGAGTCTAGCAAGATCGCTGTCGAGGAAAATCCCTGCAAGTCAACAATAGCTATTAGCATTAGCCAGCAGCTAGGTTACATGTGGCAGCTGGATGACTAACGATAGCTTTAAAGACACTTGAAGCCGCATTTACGGGGCAAATCATAGGTAACGACGTATATCTACTTAAATCAGCGACATGAACATAGATATGCGGTACACGTAAAGCTGGGTTGTCAAGGGAGCGAGTATTCGAGATACAAAGCCGGTTAAGTGAGCCCTACTACTACTACTACTACTAGCAAGCGCCATCATGCTAACACACATGCTAACTGCTGTCAGTCACACCGGAGTCACTAGACTCAGGAGGGTGCTAACGGGCCAGGGCTGTTTACTACACCGCATCGTTCACGGGGACAATCACCGTGACTAAATATATGGGAAACACCGCCGCTTACAGAAGAAACTGATGGTGACACGTGTACACGCTGAACCTAATGGAAAGATGAGGAAAAGTCCGTAAAGAGACCCTTACCAGCTGCTCCTGAGTTGTCAGGGCTTCCGCCATCTTGAAGCCTCCGCAACGTCGCAGCGGGCGCGCCCACCAGCCGCTCACTCACGCCCTACACCCCGAGACAGACACCCAGGCCCCGCCCACAAGCATTGCCCGACAGGATTTATCAATGCAGTGTGCTACTGACAATAAACTAGACGCTAAAATCATGTTCGACCAAGTGTGAAGGTTAAAAATGACCAAACACTGATTTCTTTAAGTGTTGATTGTCGTTATGCACCATGATAAGTTAAGGGAGAATGATACACGGATTTATTTGTCCACACATGTTATCATAAGATACATGTTGTGGATTGATGAATCACATTTGATTTGACCACAAACACTTCAAAATCTGTATTATATTTCTTCTTTTTTTTTTTTTTACTTACTATAGATTTATTTATGCATTTACACCATATACAGTCTATGATTTACACATATTACCAGCTCTCTGTATTTAACCATACAATTTACCGCACTTACTGGACAGTTTATAACACTTTAGAACAGTTTAGTCAGTCTAAAGCTTATGATTTCATTGACATTTTATTAATAGGCAACTTGTAAAAACATTATTCATCCATCGATACATGTTTACCGCTATTTTATTTAACCACAAACTGTTGTTCAACTCTTATTCATCCAAACATTTAACTAAGGACAATACATTTAGTATTATTAAAATTAGTATTACTTGGTGGTAGTATTATCTAGGAATTGTCTAGGAACAGTGGTGGTGCATAGGAACTTTTGTATTCGTACCTTGTTTCCCGTCGAATTGTGGGCGGCGCACCGGCGGACTTTTTGATTTCAGATGTGTTCGCATCGCTGCTCAGCAGAAAGAAAATGTTTATACTTAGCAACCAAAATAATCACTTCCACTGCGACGCTTGTTTTCGCTCCCTTACCTTTGGTACACATTGTTAAATATAGTTTATAAACTTGCGTCAAGAGTCAAACCAATGTCATGTTAATTTACATCCACCTACTCACGCGTTTGTCAACACAGCACAACTTATTCAGTATGAGCACCTCGGGTCCTTCTCTGAAAAAGAAAAGCTATATGGGGCAGCACCAGATCAAGAAGAAAAGAAAGTAAGTCACAGTTTGACTTAATTTATGCTGTGGGGAGATTTAGAAGAATTAGGACCAGATTCCTTCTGTTGCGTAGAGACGTCTTCCAATCTGTGTGACGTTTCTATCTGTCTTACTGTGGTGAACATACTTTTTTCTGTGCACAGCTTCCAAGCTCCCGATGAGCCACAAGATGGAGAGAGACTGTCAGAAAACAGGTTACCTGTCAGGCAAAACAAACACCAGCAGGGATAGCCTCATGGTGAGTGTAACCACTTGAGAGAGTTTTTTCCTCCTCGTCTCTTTTCATCTTTCACACCTACATAGGTCAGAAATGACCTGCATTAATCCCATCTTAGGGTGGAGGAGCAGTGTTTCCGCTGGGAGAATCCACATTAGCGCTGGATGAAGAGATGCTTCAGGTGCTGGATGCTGTAGACCCCTGAAGCCTGCTTTTCCAACAGCAGTAAACAGAGATGCACAGGAAAGCCCAGCATCATCAGCTGACTCTGTCCCTTTACGGTCCCTTGCACCAGTTTGCAGACAATAAGAGGGAGAGTGACAGAGCACATCAGCCCGCGGGACACCACAGAGCCCCAAGCACCCAGGAGAGTGTCTGGAGGCGTAGTGGTGATTGTAAGAGACCTGGACGGAGAGCTGACTGCAAAGACCTTGCACAGAGGCTTCTCTTCAGTGAGGACTTGGAGGAAGCGGAGCATGCTCAGAGGGGTGCCGAAACATCCAGTCATTGCATGCCTCTGCCTGCATCAATGGGCTATCCAGTCAAGAAATAAAAAAACGTCAGCAACTAGGTGGCACCACCGAGTGAGTCTTAACCTACACTTTACAGCCCAGTTTGACTATTGTTTCTACTCTGCATCTGTACTTGTCTGTTAACAATTTTTTTTACTTTGTATGTTTCAGTAGGCAGAAACTTGCATCCGGAAGACAGAGCTGCCCTCGTAGTGATGACAAAAGTGGGCAAAATATGAATGCTTATCCACCTCTGGATGTATCCAGGGACTACATCTTGTTCAGCCCCTCCCGCCTCGCAGCGGCCACGAAGAAGGCCAAACTGCAGCAGTCACTACAGAATCAGTCCGCTTCTGTGCTCACAGTCCCCAGCGGCTTAGACCTCAGTACTCTGAGTGACACTTTACCTCAGCCAGGTGAAATAATTGAAGTTGTGGCAAATATTTTCTAACATTGTTTTTCTGTGTTATTGACGCCTTTCACACCTAGTTATTGCTGGATTAACCTGCCAGAGTGTCATGGGGCAAAAGCAGCTGGGGCCCTATTAACTGGCCCTTCATCCCACTTCGTGCTCTGCATGCAGTTTTTCTACACTGGAACACTATTTGCGTGTAGAAATACTGTGGTTAAACTTTGTGCAAAATGGAAATAATGAAGGTCTTAAATTTGATTTAATACAAGGACCCTCTTCAGGACAGGAGTTCAAGGTCAGGTAACAAAGAAAGATGTAAATGCTCCGTACTTGTATAGCGCCTTTCTAGTCTTTTCGACCACTCAAAGCGCTTTTACACTACATCTGCATTCACCAGTCACACACATTCATACACTGAGCCTAAGTGCTCAAACGGAAACTAACATTCACACTCACTCATACACTGGCGGAATAGCCGCCAGGGGCAAATCGGGGTTCAGTATCTTGCAGGACACTTCGACACGCAACCAGGGGGAGCCAGGTCGAACCGCCGACCTTCCGATTAACAGCCAACCCGCTCTACCTCCTGAACCACAGCCGCCCCTAGACCCACTTCTAGGTTCTCATCATGTCAGTTCATACTGTGTTTTAGTGTTTTTTCCAAACCAGATTTCAATTTAATTATCTCAAAGAAATGCAGAAGTTTATTTGCATAGTACCTTTTAACAACAGGCAATTCAAAGTGCTTTGCATAAAACATTAATGGATTTAAAGACTAGAATAAAACAGAAATTCAATTTTATTAAATTAGATAAAATATTGCAATGCAAGACATGAATAAATAGCTTCATATTTAATCTAATAAAAGGCAGTGGCACAGACCAGTGAACTTGCTGTAAAACCTGGAGCTTTTGGGGTCCTGGGGCAGTTACCCACTATAGCCTTGCACTATATCTCTTTGCAGCTATGTCCAGATTGTATCGTTAAACTAAATAACATTTATATCTGACATTAGTTTATGTACCCTGCCACCACACCAGTTTGAAGTGTAAAAGGAGTTCTTTATTTGTGCTCTACTGTAGCATTGCCTTGTGCGTGCTCCCTCGGGCAAGCTGAAAAGCTGCTGCTATCCAGTTGGGGCTTACCAAAACCTGTACTGGAGCGCTACCAGAAACACGGAGTGACTCACATGTTCGAATGGCAGGCTCAGTGCCTCACTGTTGGACAGGTGCTGCAGGGAGGTAACCTGGTGTACTCTGGTAAGAAACACTCTCTAGTCAAGTTAATTTAAGTTTATTTATATAGCCCGATACATAAATTTGCCTCGGAGCGCTTTCCATCTTTACTCTCTACAAAGTGATTCAAGGAGTCAGTCACTGTTAGGTCAGCATCTGCTTTCAATTCTGTCCTTTTCAGCTCCGACCAGTGCTGGAAAAACTCTGGTGTCAGAGCTGCTGATGTTGAAGCGAGTGTTGGAGACTAAAAGAAAAGCTCTCTTCATTCTGCCATTTGTCTCTGTGGCGAAAGAGAAGATGCATTACCTTCAGGTGAGGGAGAGGTGGACAGGGAAAAACGACATGCATGTTGTTACTTACATTGTGTTGTGGAATGTGGGAGTATATCTACAGTATCTCATCTAACAGACCTATATATCTGGCCTTTTGTAGAGTGTATTTGAAGAGGCAGGAGTTCGTGGAGGGATATATGGGCAGCACTTCAGCTGCTGGAGGGTTCACAGCTCTAGATGTGGCTGTTTGCACGATAGAAAAAGCCAACTCCCTCATTAACAGACTAATTGAAGAGGACTGTATGGGTCTACTAGGTAAATATACCAAGGATAAAAGTTCATTTCCTTGAGTCTAAAACATACAGTATGCATTTGAATTTGTGTGTTTTATGTACTATTAGGTATGGTTGTGGTGGATGAGTTGCATATGGTTGGAGATTCTGGAAGAGGATACCTACTAGAACTGCTCTTAACCAAAATCCGCTACATTGCACAGAAGCAGAATACCACTGGGTTTGTATCCGTTAGTGTGTAACAGCTACACTGTTTAAAAATCCTGTTGCTCTCCTACATCTACAAATCTGTAAAACTCATTCTACAGGTCTCTCTCTGAGGGTGTACAGATCAGGTATGAGCGCCACCTTGCCTAACCTCTCCTCCTGGCTAGCTGGCTAGGCGCAGAGCTTTACCAGACAGACTACAGACCTGTACCCCTGCAGGAGCATCTCAAGGTGGGCTGCAACATCTACGACAAGAGCCTCTCTGTGGTGCGGCAGTTCACTCCTGCTCTGCACATTAAGGTAACTGAGTGTAGATGTTAGCCAGTGTGCGGAGTGATTCCTACTCTCTCAAGACCAGTAATTAAACTGTGTATGTATGTGTGGTCATAAAGGGTGACGATGACCACATAGTGAGCCTGTGCTATGAGACTGTGAGAGAGGCCCACTCTGTGCTTCTATTCTGCCCTCGAAGAACTGGTGCGAGAAACTGGCGGCGGCATCGCCAGAGAATTCTACTGCCTCAGTCATGCTGGTACCTGGAATTTAAATTCCATCTCAAAATTATCTACTTTTTGTGCATACTAAATTTAAAAGTGAAGTCAAACTAAAGCTTGTTTGTGTTGCATTGAGTGATATTACAGTGGTTCTTCATTGAGAGTCATGTTAAGCTGATACGAACAAGAACTTATCCCGTAAATCTAAATTTTGGTCTCATTTTTTTCAGATTGTCAGGGCCAAGCAGAGCCTCGACCAGTGTGTCTGGATCGGGAGGGACTACTGGATGTCCTAGCCCAGTTGAGACGAACACCGGCCGGTTTAGACCCCATCCTCCAGCGGACTGTGCAATGGGGGGTGGCCTTCCACCATGCTGGTGAACACACTCACACAACTTCCTAACTGAAACAAAGTGCACACTGAACCAATACTGTTTATAGTATATAAATAAGATGTTTGTCTCTGTAGGTTTGACGTTTGATGAGCGTGATGTGTTGGAGGGAGCTTTTCGTCAGGGCGTGGTGAGAGTCTTGGCCGCCACCTCTACCTGTCGTCAGGGGTTAATCTCCCAGCTCGCAGGGTCATCATTCGTACCCCTACCTTCAATGGACACTTGTTGGACCCGCACATACAACAGATGGCTGGACGAGCAGGAAGGAAAGGGGTAGACACTGAAGGTATGGAGGGAAGGACGTTGGCATCGTTGCATGTTCATTGTTATTCCAGTTGGCGTGAGAGAGAAAACAAAACATGATCAGTCAGATGATGAACTTTATTATTGTGAGATAATAATCAATAACATCTCTCTTTTATTCTCACGTTCTTTTGTCCGTTCTCTTTCAGGTGAGAGTGTGCTGGTGTGTAAGGAGGCAGAGCGTCAGAAAGGTATTAGTCTCCTTAAAGGTGCTCTTCAACCAATCAGCAGCTGCCTGGTGAGAAGGGAGGGAGAGGGCATCACCACCAGCATGCTGCGAGCCATCCTAGAGGTATGGCCGTAAATACATCAGAATTAATTCCTTTGTAAAGAATGGTTGCCTCATCCTCTGAGGCCATTGATGTATGGTTTATTAGTATACATAAGAGTAACAAAACAAATTTCTGCCCAATGAACTAATTGTTTTAAGTCCCCAATTTGAATCATCCCAACTTGCAGATCATTGTCGGAGGTGTGGCCAGCACTCCCGGATGTGAGGTTATATGCTTCGTGCTCACTGCTGGCTGCCAGCATGAAATGTGACAGCAAAAGACAATCAAATGAGACCAACACAGGAGCTATTGAGGCCTGTGTTGAATGGCTGATGGACAATGAATTTATTAGTATCCAGAAAGATGGACAAGGTACTGTCTTTTTCATTATCAATGAGCATTCTTGATATCTTGACATACAATCAAAGACTTTTAGTAACAGAATAAACCATTTGATACAAATTCTGAAGAATAATGCAAGCATTTTGTGTATTTTGCATCATATATCAGTATCATCTTGAGCACCTTTGCAATTGCAATAACTACTGCATATCCTCTGATGTCTTTGCATATCCAGAGGAGCGGTACTGTCCAACTCAACTTGGCGCTGCCACCCTTTCCTCCTCCCTCTCCCCTCCTGAGGCTGTAGGAATATTTGCAGATCTCCAGCGGGCCATGAAGGGCTTTGTACTGGAAAATGACTTGCACATTCTGTATCTGGTACAACACACATAGCTTGTATTATGACTTGTTTAATACATTTCTGTTG